ATAAATTATTTTTATGGGTTTGTCATTTGGAATATTGGACATGCTGACCTCAGTGGAGTTTCTGTTCGTGCGGGGTAGGTGACAGGGGGCAGTTGTGCTATGGACCCCTGGAAAATGAGCCTCTCTTCGGCCCCATCAAGTGTTATCTTACATAGGGAAAGAATTGCTCAATAGCCCTGCTTGAAATTCCATTCATAGACACGCCAATGGCTGAAATGGTTAGGGGTTAGGTGCTAGACAAATTCAAAACAGACACAGACATCCCAAAATATGATGGAGTTATTTTAAAGATATATCAAATATCAATCAGAAGATGAAATATATCATACTTGTCTTGAATTCACCCTAAAGCTTGTTGCAATAACATATTGTACTTGGTCATATAAAAAGGTTATTTTAATCTAAGCCAATGCCTGGTCCACTCTCAAAAGCGCAGACAGTGGAATTCAATTTTTATCTTTAGGGCGATTCAAACCCACAGCATCTCATCACTCAATGACTTAAGTTCAAATATAGGCTGATCAGAAATCTCTAGAAGGTCATAAATCAATATACAATTAACTTTACACAACAACTCACTTCTTTAACAGTTATAAATTATATTTACAAATAAACAAGTATTAAACTGGTATAGTATTAGTCAGTGGTCAAATGATTAAACTGGTTTAGATGGAGGAAAGGACAATTTTGTCAAGACATACATTTTGTCTTTTAATGACCAATCTGTACATACAGAATTCATTTAAAAGGCTTTAGTTGTGAACAGCATGGGTGCAGAAACGAGAATGGCGGAACCAAAATGGTGGTTGGAATTTTTCTCATCAGCCAATTCACCCACCACCCCATATATTTTCTCTTTAGACTATCTTTCAACTAAAAACAAAATAAGGATCCAATGTTAACAAACAGGTGGTGAAAAGTGATTTTTTTTAATAAAGGTCATTCATATAAATACATCAACTATGAAATAAAATATATCATCAATGAATAATAATGACTAGATTTGAATCTTGCCCTATCATATCTTTTATGACTTCTGATTACACCTTGCTACAAGCTTCAATAAACATTATAAATAAATATAATTTGATGTATTTCTTTAAGATTGGAAATGGCAAATTAGTTCTTTTGAGGTGACTTATGGAAATGAACAAAAAACGGAAAATCCACAGGGACATTTTGGGATATTTGACAATGTCTTGATGGACTCATTAATGGTTTAACTTTGTATAGGTACCAAAATGTATGTGAAATTTGGCTTTTGTCATGGTGAAAAACCTCAAAACTAGGGTCAGAGCAAACTACCATTAAAAGGGACATTTTATATCTGGCCCAAAACTTATCAATATCCTATCCATATATCACATCTATCAATTCCGGGGAAAAGGTAGGGCCATATTTGTAGGGTTATTCAATCCTTTTATATTTTTTTCCTCGATATATTTTCATTGATATTGTTGATATTTGATAGAGGATAAGAAATGAACAGAAATGTAAGTCTAGTCACGAATATTCCAGGTCATAGGTCATATCCCTAATAATACCACATATCATTTTACAAAATAAAAAATATAAGTGATAAACCGATTAGACATCTGATAAACTTTTTGAGAGTATTATCATAATATTTCTGGGTATCTAATTTTCGAACTTACAAATTTCATTATTCAACCAAGAATGAAGAGGAAATACTAATTTTTTTAAGTCTGACTAGCAACTGGATAAAGGTACTGGAGACATAGTCATTGCAGTTATTTAAGGTCAATCTGTCTGAATACAATATAATTGTGAATATAACGCCCACCCCTTCTTACCACAGTTTGACAAGACATCTTAAAGGATAAAAAATTGATAACTATACAGGCAAATATATGGTAATGACATTGATCCAATCTATATCAGACAGTTTGATTACTATAGTAAAACATCAAATCAACTATCCAGTTACTTCTTTCACCTCCATAAAAAAATAACAAGTGACACAACAGATTTGTCCTCATCCTTTTATATAAAACAGATTTTGTGCACCATTATGTCAGGTTTTAGTTCAATCATATTATCAGGATGAATTACTACCAGCATACTATGTAACGTTATCTACAAACTTTGTTCAGGCATTAATTTAAATCAATTCTTCACATGATATACAAATATTAAAGATCAAGATATTTTGGCTACAAGTGATGTAAGTAAGAATATCATGCATCTAAAACATTTTCCTGTCTTTAATCTCTGTGGTACTGGTTCAGTCTTTCTCAAGCTTTAATCCAAGTTCTCAATACACCCCATGTAATGTATACACTAATTATAAATCTATTGAATAAGGTTATCAATGTACTAGAATATGCCTTTCTATTCAATGTAAGTACGCAACTATATGGTCTAATTGTTACATAATAAATATACTGCAAGGTTATATGGTTCAGCTTTTCAAGCCTTGTAAGTGAAATGAACGATTAAGAAGGTGTCAAAGGCTTTATACAAGGTCAAACCCGGTGAAGAAACAGTCTTGTGATATAAAAATCTAAGTGAAGAATCAAAAGCATAATCCCTTTGCTGTTAAGACCAAAATAAATATGTGCTTTCTGAGCTAATTTGTGGCAATCTTCCTACTTACACACAATACCTTACCTCTGTTTTCAGTTCTCTATTACATTCATATGCTAAATTATGTTGAAAGTAATTTTCTGGGTGTTAGGGTATTGTAAATGTATACAAAGTCTGCACTGTATCCTAAATTCAGGTTATACAGCACTGGCAGGTCATGGCTTTTAAGCATTCTATGGGTGTCGATAAATCCTATTCAAATCTAAACAAAATATAAACACACTAATCCTCTATTTAGCTCAATCTAAAAGATTTACCAAACTTCAGTACAACTCTTTTGTATTGGAGTCCATAATAGTCTAAAATTCACTTGTTCACTCAAATTTTCCCTGAATAAAAAGCTTGAATTGAGGTCATTTCTAAAGGTTGTCAATAAAAAAACTGTAATATTTGAATGCTTCAATGAAAACCTTTGTGTTTGAATGTGACTGATAGAAAACAGTTTTCATATTGTGTGTTATGATTTTCTACCAATACATAGATATATAAACAATAAATACACAACATTCTACTAAATACCAGTCCTCTCTGATCTTTTTTCTAGAGCATGCTGGTGCAACAGTGGTTCAGTGAGTTAGACACTTGCTCTCTAGTCTGAAGGTTCAAGGTTCAATTCCAGCATCAGTAAAGATAATACCTTAGGATATTTGCCACCCTGTTTTCCCTTGGAAAAAAGCATCTAGCCATTTAAATCGGACAATAAACTACAGGCTGAATTTCATGATTAAAATGGAAAGATGAATAAGTGGTCCACAAAGCTTGTTACCAGTCCCAAGCCCATTATCTTGCTAGACTCCAACACTGCGCTCGCACAAGCTTGATGATTCTGTTGTGTGGTGTTTAGTCGCAGTTAGGATATGGGTCAGCTGTCTGAAGTTTTTTTTAGCTGCCAGCCTTCACAGAAATCTGACAGAAAGTTGGAATGGTGTAAATTGATGCTATCAAAGTAAGCTTACACAAAAAAGAAAACCTTTTACACTCCCTTTAACTATAGTAAGGATGTATTTAGCGAAATGAATTCGGTAAAATATCATCATAAATACAGGTAACTGTCAGATTTTAATGAATTGCTGATTGTAGGTAATTAAAATACCTGTCACAACATTTCACTATTTAAATATAAACTTTGTCAACCCAACCTTGTAAATTGTGAGAAATTTTACTAGCTGACAATTACAATTCATGTTTAATTTGTCATTTCTTCAATTATTGTGATCCCTCAAACATGCAAGATTCCAAAAACTCTAGAATATACATAAATTAAGATTATACACAATACCTGCTTATGAAATAGAATACAATACTAAATTTGTTACCCAGCTGTCCTTGATAAACTTTAAAAAATGGTCAGTTTACTTAGGTAGAAATAATAAGATTCTGATGTATTCATTTATCAACCCCAATTTATGAAAAGTACCGTAGATAACTCAGTGTAATGTTTTGACTTGCCCCCAAAGCAATAACTTTTCATCTCGGTAATCAACAGTGTAGAAAATATCCTTGAACAAAACTTGGATTGATTGTTTACTCATGTACTGTAAATTACAAAAAAAAAAATATACTGATCTACACGTCTGCCAACATCAATTATCAAAGTTGTAAATATTTTTTTTCTAATTTCTTGTTTATCAACTTTTAAGAAAGAAGAAAGAAAGAGGTATTGTTGAGAAATAAAAAAGATGTCTATCAGTCAAGTTGTGATTAATACCTGTGTTAAAGGGGCTGTCTGAATCACGTGTATTTATCAAAGTAAAACAATATCTTGAAGATAGCTAGATCTAAATCTCATTTTACATACAATATGACCATCAAAATGAATTGTTAGTTTAATTTCTAACATGTACATGCACAATAAGCATGGTGTCAGAACAGTAAACGATTACATTACACCAATTTATCAACTCCATTATGAGAACTATGTTGAAACCACCTCCTCTAAGTGGGCCAGAAATGAAAAGTTCTCAGAACACTGTTTCCATTTCACAATATCTCTGTTCTGATTTTTTTTAAATGTGTTGATAAATAAAAATCACATTTGACTGCGACTTTTTTAACATTCATTGTATACAAACATATTCTAGAATTCTATATTTTTAGAAAAGTGATCCCTATGGAGAAAATTAGAAAGCTGTACCCCTTAACAAAAAAATACGAAAATATATGCATAATAAATGTAAATAACAATGTTCTACCCTTTGACCTGGAAAACTGTTTTAATCTAAATAATTGGTGGGAAACATTTTTTATACATTAATGTGTTGGGATTGTTCAGTGTAAATAAATGTCAACAAGTAATTGAAGCAAGTACATGTATGTCTGGACACAATTATATAGATAACAATTGTCAAGTTATTCAATTACTAAATATAACTAAAGGAAGTTTCATGACTTACCTCCAATGCATCCACAATTTGTGCTGTCCAAGTTATAATAAGAGCTTCTGGTAAATGTTCATCGATTAAATCACCCATAAAATATTGTAAATCCCCTGCTTCACAAAAGTCTGTAACTATAAATAGTGTATGGTCTATGAGGTATGAATGAACAAACTGAACAACGTGATCATGATGTATATCCTCTAAACAATGCACTTCGTTCATGGCCTCTTCCCGTTCATGGACTGGACAATTGGAAAGTTCTATTTTCTTCAATGCTAACTGAAATGATAAAAAGATTACAATGAAACTTAAGTCAGTCTGTAATTGCTACAAGAATTCTTCAAACAACAAACAAGACATAAAAGAGAAATGAAAATTTGCAAGAAAAATGATGGACCAAGGAATTAATTCTAAAGGGAACTAAATATGAGGCTATTAAAGTGTGTAATGAGGGAAATTTGGCCCGGCTGACATCTTCTTTTAACTGTCTTGGAATCTGTATCCTTCACAGTCTGTTTATTTTCACATTCTAATTTCTAGATGCTTTTTTGCAATTAACTCCTCATACCTTCATCACAGAGAGGAGACAACTAGGTTGAAAAACTTGAATGTATAATTTTGAACGATGCTTGGATCAAATATCTACCACAAATATAATTTTCTGAGGCACTAAGGCCTTTGGGAAAATGCATGATGGATGCAATGTTTAGTTTAGTGATTTCTAGACTAATGCATAAATTATAGATGTATACAGAAAACAGAGTTCAGATAAAACAATAGAAAATGTGATTTGAAACAGGAAAATTGTTTACAAGAGTTGTTATTAGCTTGATGATCTTTTTATAGATTTCATGCAAGCAAAGAAGATCTTTAGAGAAGAATATTCAGCTTGCTGTGAAAATTGATTTAGTAGATGAAACTTATACATCAAATATTCAATATCCAACAGAGACAGTAATACCCTAAACAATGACTTAAAACCCTGGAAAATCATATTTATTGTTTGACAAGACTGGACTCACACCAAGTCTAGGTCTCTTGTCAACCATAAAAGTACAATTTATCCATTGAATAAATGAACAATAGAGTAGAATGAATGATTAAAAGACATATAGAATTTATCTGATTATCCTACCAAAGTCCCCAAAAGGAACCTAAATCCTCATTGCACTCATTGCAATTGAATTTTTTAATCTTTCTCTTTTAGCTGAATCAATGTGTTAGAATTGAAGCAGAATTGAAGTGGGTGAACTGAGATGCCGCAGTTTCAATCCAACTGAAAACTGATTCACCAGACAGAGGAAGCCATGAATAATAATTATTACTGAGAATTCTGTTCATCTGAGATTGTCAAATGAACCCAAGAAAATCTAGAAAGTGACTGAGAGCCTATACTGATTATTGGGTACCGGTAACAGAATTCATTTGATTACATCATTATGGAATTTGACTGTCTAAAATGTCTGACACAACCTTTCTCATATTGACAACAGATGTTCACATTTTAAATGTCACCATGCTTATAACTAACAATAAAACGGTCAACTTAAAATCTATAACTGTAAAACTATATACACAGTTATCAACAAGAACGTCAACGATATGTCAAGAACACAAAGTTTCAAACAAAATTTAATATGAGGTTTTAGGGAATAATTTTTGCTTCTTTTGTGATAAAGATGTTAACAATAATGTGAAATTGTTGTCAGCAATATGCTTCTATCATAGCAAAAAATTTGGTTTTTACTTATCATATTACTCTATAATTTATCTTTTCACTTTTTCCATGTTCTTTTAATTTCTATGTTCATAATGAATATAATGTAGGCCCTAAGAAGCAATTTTGTCCCAAATATATATCATTATGTATAGATCCAAAAAAAAACAGAAAGAAATTTTTCAAATGATTGACTGCAGTGTGAACTTCACTATATGGTCTACTGCACATCTTGACTAATATCATTAATCAAAAGCAATATTATGAGACTTGCATAGGAAATTATGTATTTATATCCTCTAGCTATGAGATAATATCAAAATAATGATTCATCAGCAAAATTTATACAATATCACATCAAACCTTCCTTTAGGCATGTATCAGGTGCAGGCTTCCCCTAACTAGAAACTTTTTATGTTATACAATATTTTTGCTTGAAGTTTATGAAAATATTTACTTTCAATGTCTTTTTTCTACTTATAAGATGACCAGACTGAATTTGGGAATATGGTGATGTATTTCATCATTAACTATCTAAAACCTTAGGATTTTCAATTTATTATTTATTATTGCAGTCTGGCATCACATGTGTTTTGAAAGAATAAATTAACCCTATATTAACCTCATGAAAATGATGATAGTAAAGCATCTATCCAAATTTTTTTATTATTATTTGGACACCTTCTGATATTCAAATTGCAGAGGTGCTGTGGAAGGTATAGGCACAAGTCTCTGATAGAGGATCTGAGGGGATCTCCCCTTCAGAGAACACAATTTTGAGGGAATAAAATTATAAAAATCATATTTTGAATTTCTCAGAAATGATGTGGGGATTCTATTTTTCATAGGGAGCAAAAGCCTCCCTTATCTTATTGTATCTAATAAGTAGCGCCAACAAGTATATCAGTAGAGTTATAATTATTGACAGTTCTTAGTTGTATATGATATGAGATTGAATGTTATTATATATAACTATACAACATTATTACAGACAGTAACCTAATCAATAAATGTCTCTTTCTATATACAACATAGCGGTTCACCCTGATATACACCAAATTAATCATTCAACGAAATATTGAACTTTAAAGCCTTTCACAAGCACAACAATTCAAATGTGGCATCTGGGGGTTTGGGTTTAGGAACCACCATCAAAAGAGCTGCAGAAAGTAAAGGGCAACAGCGAAATTTCCACAAATGACATTCACTGCTTGAGGCTAGCCTCCAGTTGCAGACACAGCTGTTGTAAAGTTGGTATAAATGTCATTATGAACACTTAATTGTCATAGAAATGGAATAAAATTCTGCCATTATTTTTTACCTAAATCCCCCTTTAAAATTGTTATGAGGTACCATTTTTTTGACAATTAACCAAGTAGTGAAAAAAATTGTCATCATTGTCCATTATTCAGCCCTACCTTTAAATTCCTGTGTTTTCTGTGTTGAATTAAAAACACTGCACCATAAGATCCAATGCCAAGTTCAGCTGTTAAGTCAAACTCATTGGTGACGGGTTCCGGTTCCATTTTGAAGAGTGCCAGAAGGTGTCTGTATATCACAATAGAATACAATGTTTCAATTCACTTTACATTAACAAAACAACATACACAATGTTAAAATAGTGTCACCGTACAGGCTTGGTTCGGCTTGAGATTAAACCTGAAAGGTGTGGTCTACCGGGATCGTCCCGGCAGATCTTTAAATATACTTCTAATGGTTCCTTAATCACAGATTCGTTCCTGATATTCAGTAAAACTGTTTTAAACAACCGTTATTCGTATATACTTTCCCAACACTGTACTACATTGATATACACTGTGTTATTATAACTGTGAATATAAAATTGTTATTGACTGGTTCTCGAATATCAAGACTTCAATAATTGTTGTGACTTATTGACTGAACATTTAGCTTTGTTTTTCCAGACGAAAAGACTATGTTGACATTTTGCTTTGAAATGGAAGGCATAATGACCCAGACTATTGTGAGTGCCTTGACGCATGCGTTAGGTGAGAAACACTAACGTTCTTTTTTACGAGTCACGTGATAATTAAGATTGCAGTCGTTTCGTAACACTTTAAGTCACAGAAACAAACTTGAATAAAACCTTTTAAGATTAATTTTAATACACAACAACCATCTTCTTTCTTCTCTAGAGACACTTTCTCAATAATTTATAAGATGTAAGATGCTTAATGTACGATGCCTTCTATGACGACAAACTAGGCATAACTTGCAGACTTTCTGCCTTTCTTTGAAGGAGTTTCAAACCTCTAACAAACTGATGGTGCAATGGACAGGGTACAAGTTTCGCACTAGGAATTTAAGAACTGATAAAAGAAAAAAAAGCGAAACTGGGCTGGGCCGGGCTCTCATACAAACGCCACTGAAGTATCGATCCTGTAGTAATCTATGAGCAAATTGAACAACAACTCACCTGTCGTTTGGTAATGAAGTCATAAATTAAACAAACTTCACCATAACTGCCTTCGCCTAATTTACCCACACACGTTAGATCACAAAATTCTTTCATTTTCTAGGTGTTAAACCGTGATAAAATTCAGAGTTTTCTTTTATCATACAGACAGATAGCCTTGATTACTGGAAAAAAAAGGTGGTCAGAACCATATGAGAACAAAATCTTATCCTTTATATAGACCAAGATTCAGGTATTTCATTTGGCCAACATTATTTTATTGTAGGTTTAAGTTGTAGCCTACAGAGTCAATGAAATTAACCTATTTTCAAATTTGAAATATTTTTATATTCTGGTTCTACTAGATGTTTAATTCTGTTCTACTTTTGGAGGTAATAAAACGGATTAAAAACTATCTTGGTCATGTGACCTATTTGATTTGACATTTGAAAGTGAAGTCGCAAATATCAATATATTTTCAAATTGCTTTTAACATCAGGCCTACACTGTTGAGGACTAATCTGACTTGAATTAAAAACAGACGAGGAGTCAATTTGTTTGTTGATTTCATCGGTTTTTTTTTGGAAAACAATAAATAGAAATGAACTAAGGATTGCAGCTAGGCTCTCCCCATTGTTCGAGTAAATTATCTACCTAGTTCTAAAGGTAGCCTATCTAGTATGCCAAAACGCATCCCTCGAACACAACTTTACATGCAAGTGACCGCAGTTAACCTATGTGCTCCTGAAGATTCGCTTTAAGAGGGGTTTTCCGACGAAGGGGTGCAACTCGTTCCCACAAACTGGTTATAGGTGTTGTAATTCAACTGGCGACCAGTGAGCTAGACTTAATTTTGTCTATGGAAACGTTGCTCAATGTAAATCATGAGTATTTCTTACGGGCAAGCGGTCATTGATCTATTGAGAGAGCATCAGCTCGATCAAGTAACGATCCTTGAACGCCGCCTATCGGCTACTCCGTTTTGGAAGGTTACCAACCCGACAGTCAACACCCAGCTGATCCAGAGTACCAACAAGCACGAGAACCCAGTGGGAGCAAGAGCTCACGCTCTTGATCTCATTGATTCCGTGTACGCCGACATTTGAAGATCTACACCGATGGTTCCAAGAGTAGTACCGCAACAGGATACGGTTTGTGCATCCCAGCAAAAGGCATCCGCATCAGTAAAAGGACCCCCTCGCACTGTTCAGTGTTCACAGCAGAACTTTTTAGTCATCAGGGACGCGGTAGCATGGCTGTCCGTCAATCACACGGAGCATGCCGCGATTCTATCCGACTCGCTAAGCAGCCTCCAATCTATTTTTCTCACCTCTTCTAATTGCAGGTCAGAAGTTATTTCCGAAATAAGAAGAATGATCCACAACTACCAAACCAACAACAACCAGAAGATTGAATTAGTATGGGTTCCATCGCACGTCTCCATTCCTGGCAATGATCAAGCAGACCGTTGTGCCAAAGAAAGTCTGAGTCTGGAGGATATCGAGCCTGTAGAATACTCCTATTCGGAGTTCTGCAGTATCGTATCTTCTAGGATCAACCAGAAATGGTCTGACATGTTACGGAACCTCGACACCGCAAGATACCAGATTGATCCGAAGATACCAAACCAAACCAAACCAAACCATCCATGTGTAGCCATCTGCAAAGTGGCAACCAGACTCCGGACCAACAACGTACTACGAGACCATCAGTTCAACGCCATTAAATGTCGCTGCGGCCACGTTGCCACAAGGTCGCATATCCTCATTCAATGCACTGAACTGAAACCCGCTCGTAAGCCA